ATTAACCGCGTGGCTTTTATTTGATCCTACTCCGGAGTGAGTTGGAGCTTCCTCTTTGATGAAGGATAAACCTCCAATCCTCAGTGAGATCTGGTGAGTTGGGATAAGCCGTCCCATGAGTTGGTTCAGTTTATCTCCATGAGAGGGTGAAGCTTCACGCTCCACCCAGCCTGCGGAGAGAGGACTGTCCTCCATGGGGACATCTCTGTGACACTGAACTACTTCTCACTGCAGATCATCCAGATGTCATCATCTCCTCCTCTCCTCTCTTCGATCGCTCTTGTTCTCATCCTGTCATCTCTTTGGTCTCCTTTTAATTGGCTGCTTTCTTTCTTTCTCCCAAATCAACAGCATTCCCCACCCCCCCCCCNCCCCCCTCCATTTTATCAGTTTACTTAAAGGGGCTGATAAAGCTCTGAGAGGAAGCGAGCGACCCACTCCACCCATCTTTTAGCATGAAAGATGCGAGTTGAGGTCGAGCTGATCAAATGCTGCTTGGCTGCTGCTTTATCTACACCGAGGCCTGTAGGAATAAACAGGCTCACTCTGAAGTGTTTCCTGTAATTAGGTGATTTGCACATACAGACACACACACCAAACTTTTTTTATCAAGGGAAAGAAGTGGCTCTGTGGTGCGTCTAGTTCTTGGAATGCCATCCAACCCATGTGTACAATAAACACAAATTACTTAGAACGGTACAAAAGTTTCATCAGATTTTTTCAACACTGATGTGTTGCCAAAAGTTTGACATTCCTCAACTACTTTATACAAATACACACACATTCAACTGCGCTAATCAAAACACTGAAATTCAACATTGATGGAGTTGAATGGAGCCCTATTCTGCTTTTTGGCGTTTTCCCTCTCCTGTAGTGTGTTCTATAGGTTTGTGTGAAAACCTTTATAGGACTCTAAAAAGGCTAAAGGCTTTGATTGCTACCTTAACATAGTGACATCACTATGTAACACTCGCGTCTTTATTTGGCTTGGGCTCAAACACATTGTACGTGATAGGCTAAGGGGCGGGACATGTATAAGCTGTTGACCAATCACAACAGAGCCGGCCAGCTAACCAATCAGAGCAGACTGGGCTCTGGTTTCAGACAGAGGGTGAATCGAGGTGCTGCAGGACAGGCAGTATGAGAACAAGAAAGAGCTTTTTGAACATTAAAGAGTGGAGACATGTCACAGTAGAGGAACAATATTGAGCATGATTGGTTCCTTTAAATAATGTGTGGCTGTGCTTTCTGAAGAAACAGCTTGGTTTTACTTCTGTTGATTATATTGTCCCTCGATTACTACCAGGAAATGCATTGTGCTCATTTTGAGTGTGTTATGTTACATGTTAAAAGAATCTAACCAGCTTTCATAAAGGAGGAAACACACCGACAGTGAAACCAGACACCACATTCTTTCATTATTCATTCAGTGTTTTGTTTTTATTGTAACCTCGTTATTACTTCCAACACAATGTCCAATCTAAATAAGCTAATGACAGACGTAGTCAGGATTGATGGTTGTCATAGTAACACAACACTTGTTATGTCTTGGGAGTTTTCAGGAGCTTGGTAGTAGAGCAGACTAGAAATTCTGAATATTACATTAGAGTTTTGTTGACTGTTGCCATGACATTAATATGAAACAAGTTAGTAAGCAGTGATGTAAGCCTGTTATCCCTTATCCACCTCCCTATGAACATTAAGTCCTGTGCACACCCTCCACCTATGAAGGCAGGCAGATGAATGAACACCTTGTTAAAGCAGACTTATTGAAATGCCCTCATTACCTCAGTGAGACCCTGTGACCTCATTACTCCCCTCATTCTCTCCAACCTGAACCAACCGGCTCCCATCAGCCTGCCATCAGTCAGCATGGAATATTTAAAGCCAATCGCCATGAAGCCTGCAGAGTGGATTTCAGAGCTGCCACAGAGATTTATCCTCACTGACCAAATGAAGATAGGAGAGTGAACGTTATGAGTGTGATTCACGTAGCCTGCTTCCTTTCTCTATTCATCCCTCCCTCCTCCATCTCTACATAGACCCATTCATCTTTCCTTTGGTTTGGGGCACTCTCATCAGTATCAGGGAGGATTTCTGTCAGGAAATCTTCTTAAAGCAGCACTTGGCGTGGACAAACATGCACCCATCTGATCAGGCTAAAGCATGAAGAGCATCTACTCTAATGAGGAGAGGGAGTATTTTGCCCATTTCATAAAAAAGCGCTACAAGTAAAAGAACGCTGCAAATAAAAAAAATGATAGTGTTTTTTACTTGCACTTTTTCGTTTATGCAGCACTTTTTTTAAACACATGAGTTGTCAAATTGGGAAAGATGTTTCTTCATTTGCATGTGTTTGCGCACTTTTGTGTTTTTAATTTTGCATCGTTTTTTAAAGTGCATGCGCGTTTCTCCTGCTGTTAGTGTTTAGGGCCGTTGCACCCGTAAACCACCGTACTTTTCTGAACACTGCAGGCCCCACACTGCAGCCTGTGAGCCTCTCATGGCCCTCTCACAGAGACACTTGAAGGACATTTTTTGGGAATATGCTTACTTGCTTTCTTGACATATTCTCTATCCGTCTGTTCTGTTAAATATGAAGCTTTAGCCAGGAGGCAGCTTAGCACAAAGAAAGAGAGCAGGTCAAGTTATAGTCCACCCCATAACCCCTGTAAAACCACAACTGATTAATCTAACAAGATATAAGATGTCAGAGAGCTTTTGGGGGGCTGGGGGTGGGTTTTATCACTCCTCCTGCTTCCCCTCTTATGCTAAGCTAAGCTCATGGCTGCTGGCTGTAGCCTCATATCTTTTTTTGTTGTACATTTTTATTTATCGGGTCATCTCATTAAGCAGATGCACTTTGTTCAGAGTATAAAATCATATGTTTACGTGCGGTATAAGCAAACGAAACAAGAAAAAAAATCTAATATGCTTACATATTTTCTTGTAGACATATACATTATTTACATGAGCAGCCTTATATTTAGCAGGTCAGCATAACTGAAAACAATCAGCATCCACTGGAGAAAAAGTCAACATGCCTGGTGCTTTAGCCCCAATACTAAGTTCTTTTGTTTTTGTTTTTGCAATATTTGTTATGTGTTTTCTTTTGTATATGTTGTATGTTATCCTTTCCGTAGTGCACACTTGGCTCAAATTACAGTTTTGTATAAGATGGCTCCTCAGACGTACAGCCGGCTTACTGCATCATCACAGAGCCGCTCCACACTGACTCACTGCCTTTATGTTTAAGCCTCTTTGTGTCATCTCTACACGTCCACTGATCCAACTCTCCATCCATCAGCCAACACCTAGACAAGAGGTCTGCGTCTCACTGCAGAGCTTCTTAGGGTCTGAAGAGTGATTGACACCATGAGTCTCCTCTCTGTCTCCTGTCCTTCTTTCTCATCCTTTCCCCCGCTGTTTTTCATCTCCATGCTCACCTCTATCTATGTCTTAATGACTTCATTACTATGACTCATTCCCAGAGGAGAATAGCCTACACATCCTGTCTCCCTCATCACCGTCAGCTCCATCAGTTTCCACGGTGACATAGAAACTGATACCTACACCTACAGATCTCTTACCTGTTATTTGGCTCTAATTTCAGCTGTGCTATTACAGCTTCAATAAGAAATAATATTCATTTAAATTAATTGAGTCTCACAGATGTATAATTGTAACCTGCATGGGGAAAAGGGGACAACTGTGCCCCCCAAACAATGCATTGTTAGGAATGTTTTTCTATGTCCTGTTGTAGTGCAGTGGAGGGATACTACAGTCTGCATGGTTGGCATGCGGCTACTTTAAAATCACTATTTTTGGAGTGCAGTGAAGTTGATGATGAGTGTTTGTGCTGTGGATGTCATTAGCTATATTTTTTATTTTTTGCAGTGAGATTCATATCATGTCTATCACATTCGTTAACACATGCACACACAACAGTTGCATCAATGTATGCTTTTTCTTATGTACACACACCTGCCACATATCTACATTGTGTGCTTTTTGATGCACACACACACACACACACACACACACACACACACACACACACACACACACACACACACACACACACACACACACACACACACTTTTAGATGGCACAAAATCGATTCACGTACATATTTAATCAATTGCCGTGGGTGTGCGTGTGAGTGTGTGTGTGTGTGTGCGCGCGTGTGTGTGTGTGTGTGCGTGTGTGTGAATGAACACAGTTTTGCTGACTGGGGACACATTAACCACTTGGTGGGTCTGGGTCTCTGCTGCCCCCCTCTGGTCATACAGACACACTACCTGTTCCTGTGACTGGAACCTGAAGCTCATTTCAGGCTGCTGGACAAACTTGACCTGTCCGCTCACTTCAGTGACAGCCTCAGCTAGATCCACAATCTGCTTCTTTGGAATTCATTGAGCTCTCTTCGACATTTATCTCGATCAGAATTGTTGTGACATTTTAGAATTAAATAAATCAAAGATTAATAAAAAAAAAAGAGTGCTATTTTCCCAGATAAACTGTTTTCTTTCTCTCTTTTTGCTCTCATGTTGACGTCACATATCTACATCATATGAAGTCCCATATAATTCCCTCAGCTCAAATCTTTTTTAGATGAAAATTGGGAAGCTCTGATCCTGACAGAGTGACCTCTTGCGGAGTATTTCTCATCACAAACGTTATTGTAATAGAAGATTGGACCTGCATGGATACACTCTTAACTTTGGTTGGTAGGAACAGCATTTGTTGTGATTTTTAGGATGACGCTCAGACTATGATTATACTTTCCTTCTTGAGATATGACGGTCTCATTGTGAACTCTGACAATGAGCTTTATCCTCTGCATGTTTTAATTTATTTAGGATATTCTGGTTTTCAATGCTGAACATTCAATGCTTGGTAAACAATTGTCTTTAAACATTGAAGTTGTTTTTACCGCACGTCAGATCTCCTCACCACAGTCCATTATTATAGAATATATGATCAGATCCTAACTTCCCTCTCTCCCTCCCAGGTGTGTGGGCCCAGATCCAGATGCCCCAGTCCAGTATGGATGTGATCCAGGGTCAGATGGTGGTTCTGAGGGCCGTGTACAGCAGGAGGCTCGGCAGTGACCTGAGCCTCAACACCATCATCTGGAACTTCCAGACACCTGACACCACCCAGCTGGTAAGGAGGGACACCCTACATTACATCATGGAAAACACTTAAGAGATATTTGTATATCTTATCTTGCTCCATATGAAATATGCTACAGTACACAGGCTTGGGGAGTATTGGATTACATGTAACAGTATAATGTAATCAGGATAAAAAAAGGTAACTGTATTCCCTTACAGTTACATAAAAAACAGGTAATCAGATTACTGCTACATTTTAAAAAATTGGGAATTACTTTTTAGGTTTTACAGCGTTAGTAAAACATAACAAGATCGTATAGTGTTTGTTGTAAAGGATCAGATGTTCTCTCTTCTCTGTAAGCTGTACTGTTCTGTAGGCTAATACTTTAAGTGTGAATCTATACGTCTATGGCCTGAATCTGCTTTATGGTTTCTTCGCACGGGACAGCGGGTTTGAGTTACAACACACAGGGCGTGGCCAGGCCGCACGTGTGCGAATAAACCCGGAAATACCCGGCTTGCGTACCGGCTAGTTGTACAACCTTAGCCGGTACCAGCCCAGCCCGTCAGGCCCGGTTTATTTAGGAGACACCGACAAAGTCGATGACGCTAGTCACGTACTCTTCCGCTTTGCCTCCTCTGCCCATTGTTTGGCGAAAATTTTCCGTGTCTTCTTCAGAAGGCGTTCGGTTGTGAGGTTACCGACTACCGAGGTATGGCGTCTGTTCGTACCAAAGCTACCTGCTCTCACTTTACCTTGCGTGTGGATAACAACAAACAATATAGTGCTCTCAGACAAGAAGAAGAGACCAGAAGCCAACAACGGAGAAAACTTACTGCTTATGTGTGATGGCGGCGGACGACCAATTCCTCTCAATAACGGTGAGTGCGCTACGCGTCAAGCATGGACGATGAACCGGCAGCCGATTTCAGAACGTCACACAGATCACGCTGACAACCGTTCTTCGTCCTCTGCTACTCCGCTGTGTTGTCCAGCACAGGCAGCTGCACAAGAAACCACAGTCAAACCACAGTCAAAACCACACAAGTCCGGAATTATACAAAGCGATTGACAATAACAACAACGTTCGTTGGGCAAACACGTCGTTCCATTGCCTCCCGGATGATAAATAAAAATAAGGGCCACGACTAAAAATCAGGGTCCAGGCGGTGACTTGCATCGAATAATACATTCTCACCACGACATATATATGTATGACACGGAAGGGGGGGGGGTTTTTTTCAACAACATTAATTTGTCACTGTCATGTGTACAATACAATATGCGTTATATAGAACTCACGTTCAGCGATGTCAAACTCGCTTACTCACGTTCGTCCGGTGATAAACTCACGTTCCTTACCCAAACTCCCTCTTATTTAGTTATTTCAATACGAGAGTTTCTAAATATTTATGGTGCGAGAAAAAACTTATTTCATATCCCTTATTGGGGGTATTCGATACGTCTCTCTTGTGATCGTCAAGCCATGAAGGCAAAGTAATGTTACTAAGGAAATGTCTGTTTTTGGGGTGGGGGGGTTTGTGTGGTATCCACTTCTGTTGGTGTACCTGTAAGGGATGACTCTTGGAAAGTCATTGGTACAAAAAGTCCTCACACACACAAACACTCCAAAAGTCAATCACTATACACTCTGCATAAAGTCATCATACACGCACTCCAATTAATATCAACGTACACACTCAAATTAAAGTCCAACACAAACACACTCCCACAAGTCATCACCTTATACTCTCCTAAATTTATCACACACACACTCCATGTAAGAAGCTCATCAACACAACTTCTCTATAAAGTCAACACACAACACTGTTCCGGTCTACAAAAGTCATCACACACACACTACCACAAAGTCATGCACTTTACACTCCATAAAGTCATCACACACACGTTTCCGGTCTACAAAGTCATCACCCAACACACGCTTACACTCAAACTAAAACGGATGTGCCGAAAGTATCCCAACGCGAACAATGCGTTGGGGAAAGGACAGGGGTGTTGTTACTAAGTATTTATTATATTATACCCTTGTGTACAAATTGCTGTCTCTTCACGTACATTCGTGTCATTTCTTATTATTACAAACATGTCATACTTGTCCATCAATAACAGACTAATCAAAGATTTCCAAATGCTTCCTTCCGAAACGGTCTAATTTTTGTACCCCTTTTACGTTTGTAGGAAGTATTGACAGTAGTGTTCTATAAAGGTGGAGTCTCGCTCTCTGAGGGCGACGATCCGACGGTAGTGACGTCATTGACAGTTCAATCCCCCCAAGAAATGTTTTCATTGGTAGTGTTTTGATCAATGATTATTCTTAGCATTACGTGATGGTGATTGCTTTAGATTATAAGATTTATATTTTCATTCTTTGTTGTCTTGTTATACCGGAATAGTTTCTTCTTTACTTTTGGTATAAAGCATAGTTTTGCACAGGAAGAACGAGTCTATATATATTCTTTCGAATGGAAAGTAATTAAGTCCGTCGTCGTATATGTGGTTGTGACTTTGTGTACTCGGTTGATGATCGATGTCAAACTTTTTCGTCTTTACTTTAGGACTCGACTGTCGTTTTACGAGGTAAAATCAAATTGTGTGTGTCAATTCGAGATAAATTACTTGTATATCCCAGTGGACGACTTAATTTTTTTTCTTGTTTACTTCG